ATGTTAACTGGTTTAACTGGTGTCTGAATATTCTGGGGATTAATCCAGTGAAAGAGGCACTGATTATAAGTTCCAGAATACTGAAGGAGGGAAAGAATGAGCGCTCAGAATCAAGGGATCTTTGGCCAGGAGAATGAGCACATCAATTGAGTGACTGATCATTATTTGTCATGATCAGTAAGTGACATCATAATTGTGTACTAGTTGCTCTTGATGTGTACTTAACAGATCCTCTAATAATGTAGTCATAATTGTGATCAGTGCATGTATTGAATGTATTAATTCTATTGACACTTAATACTTACTGTCTAATACATGTACAGTGGGTAGACAGTGAAAAGTGGCTGCTTATTTTGGATTCCAGAGCTCTGAAACACAGACTTGAAGTCATGAGACTTGGTCAGGTGGTGCATAATAGCTCCCAAAAAATGAATATGAAATAATAAAAGCAAAAAATAAAGTTTGAAAATTTGTGAAAAATAAGAAATAAAATTGATTTTTTTCAAAAGCTTTGATATTCATTTTGGGGGAGTGGGAGTGCTGAGAGAAAGAAAGAATGGAACGTGGGAAGAATGATTATAAATGAAAAAAATTGGAACAAAAAAGTTTTGGCCAGGTTGGTGGTCCAGATTGGAGCCAAAACAGTAAATTCTAGTGCTTTGCTGCAATGTGGGCTGGTGAATGCCCCACTCAACAGCTGTTTGAAGCCCTCTGAAAACCAGTTTTTCCAAAATTTTCATTCATAATCATTCTTCTCATTTCCCAAACTTTCTTTCTCTCATAGAGATCGTTCGTCCGTACTTTTTGCAGGTACCTGGTACCTCCTGGGGGGTACCCCTCGCACCCGCCCCGCACCTGCCAGGAGGTGCCAGGTGCGGTACTTGGTACCTATTTTTGTGAAAAATTGAACAGGTACCTAGGTACCTCTACAGGTACCCCCTCACTTCCCTACCAAAAATCAAAATGATGGTGGCCTTCTACTCCAAGAACTCCAAGATCCAAGAAGGTACCTTGGCTGCATGGAAACAGGGACTCAAGGATAACAAGAAGTCTAACAAAAATCAAAAAGGAAGGGGATGGTTTTGGATGACAATGAAGATTCTTCCAATTAGTATAAGTTGTAGATAGTTTCAACTTTTCAATAAATTATTAAATTATAACCAATGAAAAGTGATCTGGGAGTGATGTTTACAATAATATGAAAAAATG